GGGGGGGGGGAGAAAATATTTTCTTTAATTTCAGAATCTTCACTCTCCATTTTCTTTCTTTAGATGCTTATATAATAGCAGTTTTTTTTGATTTTGCAAAAACTCTATGCATACTCCTTTATTTTTCATTTTCTTATAATTTTTACTTTTATTGATTGAGGATTTATAGTGTTCAGTGAGTGGTTACCTGGGTGATATCTAGTCTCTGTTTAAAAAATGAAGCAATGCATAGCTCAAAGAAGTAAGATTTTGACTATTAATGGGAAAAATTAAAAGTCATTGAGCTAAAAAAAAAAAGCCCTCATCATAAAGATTAGTATCTGGCCTGTAGGAAGGAGACTACAGGGGTAAGACTCTGTTTTATTCATTGATTATCTTACTACACGTAACAGGAAAGATCTACCTGCATTGTCCCTCCCCTTACTCCAGATACTTGATACCTGTAGCTTCTCAACATACATTTATGGAAGAAAAGAACAAATAAAGGAATAAATAAATCCAACATCACAACCCAATATTACATCTGAAGTGGAAAGAGCCTGAAATGAATAATATGAGGAAAAAGCATTACAATACATCCTTGAAGAGAGATAAAAAACAGGGTGAGGGGTATTAGAAAACCTATGTGCTCTTACTCTTTTGCTCAATTTTCATAGCCATAGAATTTTAATACAGATTTACTATTAGTTTGACTTTTTAATCTAGTATGTCTTCTGTTTTTAGTACCTCAATGTTGTTATGCACACATTCCTATGAAATTCTTCATTGTGACTAGAATACAAACTCAACATCTTAAGAGTGGTTAATTCTAGAGGCTATAACTGAAACTAACAGACTATCTGAGGACAGAGGAGGGACTGACGATGAAGAATAGTAGTTCCTTGACTCAGAAAGGCAATGGTTGTCAGGTGTATTCACCATCTATGCTTTCAGCATTAGTGACTTTCTAGAGTGTGCAGACCCAGGGCCCACCCTGGTCATCTTCTTGGAAGATAATTGGAAAGTCAGTCATACAACAGGCACAAATTATCCTCTATAGAGATCTCAAATATAATAAAATCAGAAGAGAATTTGTCAGCAGTGTGATCCTTAAAGAAGCCATGAGTTACGGTTCAAGGAGAGGTAGCTGGACTCAGGTAACCAAGAGCTAAACTGACTTCATGCTCTTTACATGGGTGTCTCAGTGTTCTGAATAAATTTAAAACATCTATATCTCATGGTCTGGCTTTGACTTTGGGGAAGAGCTGTAAGTCATACATTTCCAGATGCAGTGAGTAAAGTAGATGAGGACACACTGTAATTTTTTTTGAGTTTCCCTTTCCATTGGATGGCATGAGCCAATCACATTCACCATATTTTTTTTATCATACCTCATAAAAACATGAAAGAAGACTTCCAGAAGTTCTTCAGAAAGTGGCAAGAATGATGGGATAAGAGTGTTAAAAGCTAGTGGTTGTGGAGGGTAATAGAAACATGTCTTTTACTGTAATGAATTTTTAAAAAATCTAAAATTCATCATATTATTTGATCACCCTTTATATTCACGCCCTTTTACTTCAGTGACTAAATTTTAGTCCACTCATTTATTTCCTGCTAAGATGTTCCAGGAAACATAATTGGCCCTTTCCTTTCAATTGTGAATTGACTTGACTCTGATCTGCCTCCTGTAATGACTACTATCACAGAACACAATTTACCATATTTTTATTGATATTTCACTTCCCAGAAAGACTAGGAGGTTTTTTCTGGCACAGGAATGTCTGTATTTTTCCAGCCTAACATAGGGCCTAGCAAATGTATATTTATTTGTTTAGCCACTTAAAGAACATATATTTTACCATGTGACTTACATTATGTTAGAGATTGAAATGCAAAGATATAGATATCTCTTGTCTTGGAAGACAACATGTACTGGCAGTACATAAGTATGCCAACAAATAAATCTATTATAAATATACTATGATAAAATCGTACATGTGGCAAACAAGAAGAGAGAATACATTCCATTTTAAATATTAGTTGAGCTTATAAAATATTCATTAATTAATTGATATTTAACCATGAAAACCACACCATGTATCAACAACACTACATACCATATAGCTCCTTCATTAAGACTCCTGGAATGTCTATGTTTTCAGATAAAATGTATCCATTCTAGGAGTTGTGGTGACATTGGTTATCTTCTGAATTGAATGTATGGAGAAAAATATATTCCATACATTAATTCATAAACAATTTTAGCACCAAAGACTGCCCAGACTGAAAATGTCTCGAAAAGTCATTTTATTTTTTATCTAAAGAGAAGATTACCCAGTATCATAAAAAAACACTTAAAATTCCTTCAAAAGTTTAAGAAATATTTTATATGAATATATTAGAAAACAGTTGTTGTGACCCCATACCAATGATTAAAATTTGTGATAGAAATCTTCACTCTGCTCTTTATTTCTATGAGATCTACTAGATTTATCTCCTCCACAATGTGTATATTTCAAAATGCCATGTTGTACATGATAAACACAATTTTATCAGTCAACTAAAAATAAATTAAAATTTTAAAATACCAGTGAAGAAGAAAAAAGAAGGGAATGGAATTGAGATACAAATTCAGACATGGCTATAAGTATCTTCAACATAGTTTTTGAGAACATACTTTGAGAGAGATAATGGAAAATGTTTGGCGCCACACCAAGTGTTTCCTCTTTGTTTTGTTTTCATTCATCATTCTTCTGTCTAATTTCAGTTGCCTTAGATCAACTCCTGCCTTTTTCACTCTGGAAGAATTTTATGACACTGTCTTGGATCTGTTTTGTCTTTACCCCATAAACAATAGGGTTTAGAGTTGGTGGAAGAAGAAGGTAAAGATTAGCCACAATGATGTGAAGAGAAGCGGGAATGGTGTGACCCCCAAAACGGTGGGTAAAAAAAGTAAAAAATGCTGGGACATAGGTGATGATGATGGCAGATATATGAGCAGTGCAGGTGCTGAAGGCCTTCTGCCGAGCATCTGATGATGAGAGGTGGACCACTGCCCGCAGGATCATAGTATAAGACACAGATATACAACAAATGTCAAACACTCCAATCAGAAGTGCAACCATCAGCCCATAGATGACATTGACCTTGATGCTGGCACAGGACAACTTCACCACAGACATGTGGTCACAATATGTATGGGTGATGATATTGCTTTGGCAGAAGGGCAAACGCTTGACCAAGAATGGAAAAGGAATCATCAGCAACATACCTCTCAAGAAGGTGGCAAGCCCAGCTTTGGCAATGATAGGGTTAGTGAGTATAGCAGCATAACGTAGTGGGTAGCAGATGGCCACATAGCGGTCCAGAGCCATGAGCATGAGCACCCCAGACTCCACACCTGTGAACCCATGGACAAAGAACATCTGGACTAAGCAAGCATTGAATTCAATTTCCTTGAGATTAAGCCAGAAGATGCAGAGTGCATTGGGGAGAGTGGTTGTGCAGGTAAGTAGGTCAATGAGTGACAGCATGGCCAGAAAAAAATACATTGGGCGGTGTAAAGACTCCTCATAATAAATGAGGTATACAAGGCCAAGGTTGCCCATGAGGGAGATGACATACATTGTGCAGAGTGGAAGTGAGATCCACACGTGTACTACTTCCAGACCAGGAATTCCATTAAGGATGAAAGATTGAGGAGGCACATATGAATTGTTGGAAATCAGCATAGCTACTTCAATAGAGGAATGATATTTTTCCAAAAGTTTCTAACCCAAGGAAAAAGAATTAAGTAATAGAAATTTAATTCAGATCTTTGCAAACACAAATAAATTTGTGACAAAGTTACACTTATAAATACTATCAATTATTTTGGATAATAATGATTTGAAAACAGTTTATTGAACAGTATCCTAGGTAATATTTAAAAGATTTTATGAGAAGCTTAAATTTAATTTTTAACAGAAGTTGTGATTTGATTTTTTACCCTCAAATAGAAACGTGGGTACAGATGTTGAATAATATTGACTGTGGCATAGCTAAATTCATAAACAGAAATAGTATTAATAGATGACTTTATACTCACATAGTCTCATTTTTATGTAGCCTGGTTTGTAAGATTATGTATCCTATGAGAGAAAGTTATGATTGTATGTGAAGAATAGCCTGAAATTTGTTTATTTAATTAATTTTGTATCATAATAAGCGAGAAGATTGCATTTTTTTCTGTCAAATAGCACATTATTCACATTTCAACTCCTTTTATAGCAAAATGTGATTTAGTGAGGTTTACTTTACTCTCCCATCCAGGGCCAACCCTGCTTAGCTTCTGAGCTCAGGTGAGATCAGGTGCATTCAGGGTAGTATGGGCACAGATGGGGTTACTTTACTCTCAAAGCCACAGTTGTTCTTCTATAATGTCAGACTGATACTTAAAGACTTCTGCAAAATAATTGGAAGTTTAGGTTACTCCTGATTAATACTCTTGTGGATTGGATATAGGAATATTGAAATACAAGTGTAGATGCTGTATGGGTATAAAATACAAGAACAATGACTATGAAGGTTAATCTAATTTGATTGTCCCAAGAAAGAAAAAGATAAGAAACCTTCCTTTGTCAAATACTCTGTAATCTCAATGTCATTGAGATAATCCATTTCCTTTCCACGTCTTTATTTTGATGCAATTTTTGAAAAATATACTCTATAAGAAAGATTTTTGTCCCAACGATTTCAAATATAACCAACATGAAGATAATTTTGAGATAATTAATCTAAATAAACTATGTCACTATTGTTATGCCCTTTCATGCTGGATATCTCCATTATAAATTCTCATAAAGACTTTAAATTTACCATGTCCAGCACTAGACTCATTCATTCAAAATATACTCATTCCCAAAACAGACTTTACATCTAAGTTGTGCCTGCTAGATAATGGTGTCACAGTCCACCACAGTATCAAAACTATTGTCTTTATGATCTTCTCTGGCATTCTTAGCACTCATCTTTATTATTTCCTTAAAGCCGAAAATATCCCAATTGTCACTCCAGTCATGTTGCTTCAACATGTCTAAATTCTTGGCCCCTGCTGAGACAAGATGAAGGTCTATACATCTATTTTTAATCCAGAAATGTTTCTATTTACAGCCTCTTTTTTCTATCACCACTTTCACTGACTTCTTTGAAGACCATATAGCCATATCCTTCTATTTCCTTGCTTTTCCTTTTGTAGTTTTTCAAATCAATTTATAGCATAAGTTTGAAGGTATTTTAAACCTTTGTGTAATAATCTTCAATATCTTCCCATCTCTTTAGGATAGAGATAAATTTCCTTGGCATCTCATTCATTCAAGTATAATTTGACTCTTACTTTTTCTATTTTGTTTCTTTCTATTCTCTAACCACTCAAAAGTCTCCTGCTTTAAAAATTCAACCATATTGGGCTGGGGGTTTAGCTCAGTGGTTCTGCCACCTGCCTCACTAGTGCAAGGTCCTGAGTTTGATCCCCGGTACCAAAAAAAAATTTAAATCATATGGTCAATGTATTATAGTATTTCATTATTGAACTGTGTAGGACTACTTACTAACCTCAAAATACTACATGGAATTTAAGTCTATGTTAACTTTGAAAAGTTTCTCACATTTATTTGAAAACATCCCTGTGTATATGATAAAAGAAAAGAAATGACAAGGACCAGAGCAGAAATAAGTAAAATAAAGCACAGAAAACAAAAGGAAAGATCAACAACCTAAGACTTGTTTTATTGAAAACAAAGCAAAGTTGACAAGCCTTTAGCTAGACTAAGAAAAAGAGAAGGTCCAAGTAAGTGAAATCAGAAATGAAAGAAGCAGGATTACAACTGTATCTATAAAAATATAAAAGATTATGAGACTATTAGTAATAATCATACACAAACAAATCAGATAAAACAATAATGCAACTTATGAGGATCAGGTAAGGAAGGAAAAGAAAATATTAATATACAAATAGCCAGTGAGAAAATTAAATCAGCAATAAAAAGTCTCCCATCAAAGAAAAACACCGGACCTGATCGGTTCACTACTGATTCTACCACTTCCTTATTTTTGCCTGTTGTGGGGAAGGTAAAAAGGAGACCAAATAGGCAGGTGTCATGATAACAAAAGAGCATAATCATCGACATTGCTGCACCACAGTACTTCATGTCCATCACAATTTCTCCTTGAAGACAATAGGTCCATTACCTAATCTAGATATCCAAACCTCCAGGATCTGATAGCACAATGATGCATGCTATCACTGCTTCTGCTTCTGCTGTTTCCTCCTCCCATGAGGGGCAGCTATTTGACACAAAGTGTATGTAGTACCCATGCTTGCCTCTGGCTGGTAACAAAGAAGACAGATTCTTTTAGATTATCATTTGGTCCTACTCTACAGAAAAACCTGCATAAGTCAGCTTGTGAATAGAAGGTGGGAAAGCCAAGGAGACTTGCTTTTTCACTTTGTTTTCCCTTCTTTGCTGTGCTTCTCTGAATTTTTTTCTTATTTGAGCAATTTAGGTACTAGGACACAGAATGAAATCCTATCAGGCATCTGAAGACCCCTTTCCCTAATTCCCTGGAGAGAAATGTCAGAAACAAGCCATGTCCAGAAAAAAGACTTCTAGAGTCTTTGATACTATTTTTTCCTTGCTGTGTTCATTGTTTGGAAATGTTTTTCTTGAGGTATCAAATCTGTCTTTTTAATGGCACAAGATACTATTCCTGAGCCTGAATATCTTAAGTGAGTGGGTCTCTATATTAAATTTAGCAAATTCTACTTGCAAAATGTTTCCAAAAATCCATTAATCATCCACCATGTATGTGTCAGGCAATGTATTCTTTGGCATGTATCAAGAGGCTTTTCTGTGTCTTCACTCAGTTGCTTTTATGTTAATCTTGCACATAAATATCAAATTTGCATAACAACTCAACTATTTATCCATGTGCTTATAGAAAAAGTAGCAAAAGTTATATCTGATTATATTTATATTTATATATTTAGCATTATGTATTATAAAATGTTATATTAATGTATTATATGTAATGTTATTATATTATCTATTTTAGTACTATTTAAATTTACTTGTGTTTTCTATCACATTCCTGAGTCTTCCAATTCAATATTATCATAGTTCCTTTACCCAAGATAATATGCTCAGTAATTTGCTGAAAGAGACAGAATTTTGTGTTTTCTACATGGAACACTGGTGAAGCAAACACATCCCGATCACTCTTAAACCAAAGGAGATCATTCTGTGAAATTCCCCTTCCCCCCTGCAACCCTCACAATCTCTCCATGTTGATAAGTTGAGATCTGTGCTGGGGCAATTTAATTTTATCCTACTCATTTACTGATCTATCAGCCGTTTCGGTGTATAAGTTAAATCCATCACCTATTTTACCCTATGTATGAGGATTGTACCTGGATTAAAAAAGAACATTGGATAAATTGGAGTTATACTGATTGAATTGAAGGGAAGGAAAGGGATGGGGTCAGGTGGGCTAGCAACTTACAAGGAAATGTATGGACCTGTTTAATTTTTCTTCATTAAGGGGTTTTGGAGTTCTTATCTAAACCTCTGTCTTTGGCATTGCAGCATATGTTTTCTAAAAAAAATGAATGAATACAGACCGAAGTGTTCCCTAAGCTATAAAAGAGAGGTTAAGAGCATCTTACCTGTACTTTGGTCACCAAAGGTACACATCTCAGACAAATACTGTCTCCGCTTTGAATGTGAAATGAACCTATTCTTCCTAAATTTTTAGGCTAACAAATCACCAACAGCATGCTCTGTAGGCTAGCACCTTTGACTCATCTGATGGCACAGATAGGCTGAAGCAGTAGGAAGATTTGTCCCACAATAAGCCTAGGTCTGGAGTGCCCAGGAGGCAGAAATCACCCTTACTCACAATATAGCTGAAGATAAGAAGGAACATGGAAGGTGCTCATGCCAGGGAGAGGGCCAGGAATGTGTGTGATGGTTTCACCTTATAGACTGTGGGTCAGAAATGTTTAGTCTAGGTGAGATCCCACAGGAAGCAGACATAATCTCTTATACTCTCAGAAGTCTTAAGTCTTAATAAGAAACAGGGCTTAAGAGACCAGAGCTCTAAAGAAAAGAATGAGACAAAGCTTCACATATTCGGGGGACTAAAATACTTTCTTTACCCCAAAGGATGACAGTCCAGAAGGTAACTCCCATGCTGATACTCCACCATTAGGAGTAAAAGTTGGAAATTCTTCTCTAAGGAGATTAAATATAAAACAAAGATAAATATGTATGCATGGTTTCCTGAATGTTTAGTTGTTTATTACTATGAATGTGGAATGAACATATTAATGGTCATTAAATTGAAAAAGAAAAAAGTAACAAAGATATTTAAAAATATACTTTCTAATAGTTAAAATACTTTCTTTTAGGATTAACTATATATTTGTATTTATACATGCGTAACTTTTTTTCCTGAAAATAATGACCATAATTCACAGGATTTTTCCACACTGATTCCTTCCTTTTAAAAATACATCATGAACTAGATGTTGTGGCACATGCCTGTAATCCCAGTAGTCCGGGAAGCTGAGGCAGGGGGATCAAAAGTTCAAGCTAAGCCTCGATAAGTTATCGACTTAGAGGAACCATGTCTCAAACAAAAAAAGGACTAGGGATGTAGTTCAGTGCAAAGACCCTGGATTCAGAACCCAGTA